AAAGGGAAGAAGCCCTGGATAAGTAAAGCACTACTGAAGAAGAAAGTAGGAGAACTCATACTACCTGACTTCAGAACCTACTGTACAGCTACTGTAGTCAAAACAGCCTGGCACGGGTACAACGACAGATACATTGACCAATGGAACAGAATTGAGAACCCAGATGTAAATTCATTCACCTGCAGTCATCTGATCTTCAACAAGGGGCCAAAGTCCATCAGATGGGGAAAAGACAGTCTTTTTAACAAATGGTGCTGGCAAAACTGGATGTCCACCTGCAAAATAGTGAAACAGATTCCATACCTCACACTATACACAAAAACTAATTCAAAATGGATCAAATACCTAAATATAAAACCAAAAACTGTAAAGATCATAGAAGAAACATTAGAATCAACACTAGAGGCCCTAATACATGGCATTAACAGGATACAAACCATAACCAACAACACACAAACTCCAGAAGATAAGCTAGATAACTTGGATCTTCTAAAAATTAAACACTTATGCTCATCAAAAGACTTCACCAAAAGAGTAAAAAGAGAACCTACAGACTGGGAAAAAATTTGGGCTATCATGAATCTGACAAAGATCTAATCTCTCAAATCTACAAGAAAATTCAACATCTCCACAACAAAAAGACAAATAATCCAATTAAAAAATGGGCAAAAGAAATGAACAGACACTTCACCAAAGAAGACATTCAAGCAGCTAACAGACACAAGAGGAAATGCTCACGGTAACTAGTCATTAGAGAAATGCAAATCAAAACCACAGTGAGATACCATCTCACTCCATCATTACTGGCACGAACAAAAAAAAAACAGAAAATAACAAATGTTGGAGAGGCTGCAGCATGATTGGAACTCACCCACTGCTAGTGGGAATGCAAAATGATACGGTCATTTTGGAAAATATGGTGCTTCCTTAGAAAGCTAGAAATAGAAATACCATATGATCCAGTAATCCCAGTCCTAGGAATATATCCTACAGAAATAAGAGTCGTCACATGAATAGACATATGCACACCCATGGTCATTGCAGCACTGTTCACAATAGCAAAAAGATGGAAACAACCTAGATGCCCCTTAACAGATGAATGGATAAACAAACTAGGGTACATACACACAACAACAAAGAACAATGATGAATCTGCGAAGCATCTCATAACATAGATGAATCTGAAGGGCATTATACTGAGTGAAATAAGTCAATCACAAAAGGACAAATATTGTATGAGACCACTACTACAAAAATGCATGAAAAGGTTTACACACAAAAAGAAACAATCTTTAATGGTTATGAGGGAGGGGAGAGGTGGGGATGGAAAAACACTAAATAGACAATAGATAAGTGATAACTTTGGTGAAGGGTGAGACAGTACACAATACTGCGGAAGCCAGCACAACTTGTACAAGGAAAGATCATGGAACCTCCACAGACACATCCAAACTCCCTGAGGCACTACATTACTGGGCTGACGGCTGTGGGGACCATGGTCTCAGGGAAAATCTAGCTCAACTGGCATATCACAGTTTATAAAGAAAATGTTCTACATTCTACTTTGGTGAGTAGCATCTGGGGTCTTAAAAGCCTGTGAGCAGACATCTAAGATATTCCATTGGTCTCACCCCTTCAGGAGCAAGGGAGAATGAAGAAAACTAAAGATACGAGGGAAAGATTAGTCAAAGGACTAATGGACCACAACTACTACCACAGCCTCCACCAGACTGAGTGGATGGCGCCCGACTACCACCAGACTGCTATGACAGGGATTACAGACAGAGCTGGAGAAAAATGTAGAAGAAAATTCTAGTTCACAAAAAAAGACCAGACTTACTGGCCCGACAAAGACTGGAGAAACCCCAAGAGTATGGCCCCCGGACACCCTTTTAGCTCAGTAATGAGGTTCACCCTTCAGCCAAAGATTAGACACACCCATAAAATGAGTCTAAAGCAGCACACCAGCCCAGGGGAATAAAGAAAAGAAAAAAGAAATATAATGCAAGCCCCATATGTAATTTTAAATTTTCCAGTAGCCTCATTATAAAAGTAAAGAGAAACAGATTAGTTTTAATATTTCATTTAACCTACCATATCCAAAATATGTCATTTCAACATGGAATCAGTATAAAACTATTAATGGGGTAGATTACATTCTTGTTTTATAGTACTAAGTTTTCAAAAGCCAGGGTGTATTTTACACTTTTAGCATATCTCAGTTCAGATGAGCCACATTTCAAGTGCTCAATAGCCACCTATGGCTAGTGGCTGCCATATTGGACAGCACAGGAAGTGAAGTAGGACTAATGGACAACACTGAGGACCTCCTTGAGACAGGTAGTCATGAAATTAAGTGAGATTGGCATGGTTGTATGTTTTTCTCCAGCTACATTCAGCCACTCATGTAGATGTGGAGTAGGTGGAGAATTGCCAGGCATGGAGTTTTGCCAACAGCATTCACCAAAGGAAAAAAAGAGGAATGGAATTGGTGACATACACAACAGAATGATTATACAGTTTGACTATAGAGCATAAGTCACAGAAGTAAGGTTTGGTGTTGGGTGGGAGGGAGGGAGGCAGAGGAAGGGAAAAGGTGGTAGGAGCAATGGCAGTTCTAGTAGGGTCAAAGAACTTTTAGAATTGTAGATGCCATGCAATATACAAAGATGTCTAGAATAATCCCTGCCCTCAGCAAGCTGATCTTGATGGCAGGTATACCAATAAATATTCCATAAGATATTATGTAATAAATGCCAGATCAGTAGCACAAAAAGTGCTCTCCATGAGTTCAGAGGAGGAAGTGCTCACCTCCTACTGGGATGATCCAGAAAGAGTTCATGGAGGGAGTGGTCAGTAGGTAAATTGGGCCTTGAAGGATGAATGAGATTTTAATCAGTCTATGGAAGATAGTCTGCAAAGTGAGGAGAAAGCAGATAGAAAAGCAAAAATATTTGATATTTCTTGGCGTACTGTCTTAGTCATCTAGTGCTGCTATAACAGAAATACCACAACTGGATGGCTTTAACAAAGAGAAGTTTATACTCTCACAATCCAGTAAGCTAAAAGACCAAATTCAGGTCGCTGGCTCCAGGGGAAGTTTTTCTCTCTCTGTCGGCTCTGGAGGAAGGTCCTTGTCATCAATAGTCCCCGGTGGAGGAGCTTCTCAGCACAGGGACCCCAGGTCCAAAGGACACACTCTGAACCTGGCACTGTTTTCTTGGTGGTATGAAGTCCCCCTGTCTCTCTGCTTGCTTCTCTTTTTTATATCTCAAAAGAGACTGGCTTAAGACACTATCTAATCTTATTTATCTCATCAGTATAACTGCCGCTAATCCATTTTATTACATCATAGTGAAAGGATTTACAATACATAGGGAAATCACATCAGATGACAAAATGGTAGACAATCATACAAATCTGGGAATCATGACCCAGCCAAGCTGACAGATATTTTTGGGGGACAGAATTCAATCCATGACATTCTTGCCTTTGGCTCCCCCCAAATTCATGTCCTTGCCACAGGTAAAACACATTCACCCCATCATAGGTAAGAAAAAAAAAATCTTAGTATTTATTGAGGGAACTATTAATTACTGTGGGGGAGGCAGCCTATAAGTAATGATAGGTCTTTACAGAAGAAGGATCCTGGGATAATTTCCCTGGGGGAGAAAGGTCTCACCATAAAATCAAAGGATTCCTCCAAAGACAATGTTTCCTAGGTGTGGGAGGATTAAGTGCCAAGGACTGTATCCCAAAATGCCCTTGCTTCCCAGCCTACTCTGCCCTCCCACATACACACATACCCCTTTCATCTGTCTTTTAGAGTTCAGTCTCATGTACTTTTAACTCTCTTCTATGGAAATGCTCAGGTACAGGTAAACAGATGCAATATAATTTACCTTTCATCTTCAGGTTCTGGAAAATTTGGAACCAAGGAGAATTAAATGATAAATGACTTAGCTTACAGAGCAGAAAAATAGAATATGTAGAATTAAAAAAGCTTGATTACTCTCAACACATTTTTAATAGTAGTCTTCTCTTATCACAGAGACCCAGTTTACAAATTTTTTAGAAAACAAGCTACTTGTATACATTGCAGTCTTTCTGTTTTTTTCTACATCTGATGCTATTTCTATGAAAATTTAAAGGACAAGAAATATTTCAGTCTACTGTGGTTCTCTGCACAGTCATCACTGGACAACAGGAAATGGTTTTTCCTAAGTATGTGCATGTCAGTGCCGCAAAACAAAGATTAAAAATTACCTTCTCTTTTCCAAGTTGTAAATGTGTAGGGAAAACTGCTGGTATATCCACTCCCTCCTTTTTTGCACAAGAATTTCCTACTTGAGTTGGAATATTTAGAAAAGTAAGAAGAACTAGATGTTTTCACATCAGACTTCAATAATACTGAACTTGGTATTGACATGTCGTATATCCTTGGTACTTCACAGTCCATTATCATTTTAAATTTATAAAACAGTATACGAAAGCAGAAGCTTTAGAAGCAACTCTTCTGCTGCCTAACAGAAAGTCATTAATGCCAGGAATAGAATTCATACTTACTGACACATGTGGTCTTACAACGTCTGGAGATCATTCTCATAACATAAAATAGAATGCTCAGTAAGCAGAACATATCAAATATCATTTATTCAAGATAGTTTTAAGAACCATGGAGCTTAGATCATATAAATAACTGTATTAAACTTTATAGGCCTACATTAATATGAATATATATTAAGGTATCATTCAGTCAAAACTAGTACTTACTATGAATTTAAATAAATATATATATAACCATTTGGCTGCATAAAGTGGAATATATTTCCATCAAAAAGTCAGCAAAGATGTCAACATCCTTGAAAATGTGAACTACTGTTTTAATAAAATTCACAAACATGCTAGAATTCTGAAGGGTGCATATGCCACTGGTCACACTGCTACAGATGCTATCACAGCTCTCCTTACTGGTAATAAAACATCCATGGTCTGCTGATTTAAGTAGGAAGGTAAATCCATAGTTCTTTTAGTAGTGCTAGCTGTGGTTTTAATCCCAGTGTCTTTAACCCTCATACATCTGGGAGATTCTGCAAGATCTGTCTCAAGGAAGCACAAGCTACCATGTGCGAATCCGAAGGAAGATTATCAAGCAACTGAATCAGCCTCTTGACTATTGTCTTCAAGCACTGGTGGGCAGCATTTAAGTGTCTGTCAAATTGCTGTCCTTCGATCTGTAGAGCCAGATGACTGCAAATGTTTCTAAACTCAACACTATCCTGAAACAAACAGCAAACACAAACAAGAATGAGATAGGTTCAGGGGGACATTTGTTGTGTTTTGCTTACTCAGCCTCTAATCCCTTCTCTTCTGGTAATTGTTGTTAGCTGCCAGAGAGAAAGCCCCTCACTCACGCAACCCCACACACAATGGTACAAAATGCTCTCAGTCCTGTGTCATCCCCACTACTCGACTCTTATGATCCACAGGGTTTTATTTATTTTGTTATTGTACTTTAGGTGAAGGTTTACAGAACAAATAGTTTCTCATTAAACAGTCAGTACACGTATTGTTTTATGACATTGGTTAACAACCCCATGACATGTCAACCCTCTCCCTTCTCAACCTTTATTTTTTTTTGGGGGGGGAATATACATAGCCAAAGAGACACCATTTCAAAAATTTCTACATGCACAGTTCAGTGACATCGATTACGTTCTTCCAGTTGTGCTGCTATCCTCACTTTAGATGAAGGTTTACAGAACAAAATAGTTTCTCATTAAACAGTTAGTACACATGTTGCCCTATGACAATGGTTAAGAAACCCACTAAATGTCAACACTGTCCTTACTCAACCTTGAGTTCCCTATCACCAGCTTTCCTGTCCCCTTCTGCCTTCTAGTCCTTGTCCCTGGACTGCTGTGCCTCATTAGTCCCATTTTGTTTCATGGGGCTGTCC